TCGTTATTATTCCCTATAATATCTTCTTCTTCTTCTATGAGTCCACTGAAGAGTTCCTCAATTCGAGAAACCTGAAATGGAACAGATATAACTGCTGGATAAGTTGTAATGCTATTAACAATGCTTTTCTAAAGATTTTGCACTAAGAATTGTTGTTGTTTGCTAATGTTGAAAAAAGATGTCGAAAAACAAATCTTTGATTAATCTCTTTGGTTTCATTAGTTTTCTGCCTTCTGCCGTCTCAATATGATAGATAGAAAATTTTCCAGGGAAAAAAAAGAAACCGGAAAAGAATTAAATCATAGCAATCCGGAAAAAAAAGAAGTTTTGTTTTTCGTGAAAAATTAATAAATCAAATTAATTTACATACAATTGCATTAAGCTTATTGATTGATAAATTGGAAATGCAAGTAGGGGGAGGGGGTTTTGTTAAGGTAAAAATGTTAGTAAGATAGGAGCGCAAAATGAGAAGGGTTAAACTTAAGCTCAATTTGATTGAGTGTTGGTGAAGCAAAGTAGTAGTAGTAGTAGTAGTAGTAGTAGTAGTAGTAGTAGCTTTATGTTAGAAGTGAAGTGAAACGAAATGCCATCTCACTTTCTTCATCGTTTATTATCTCTACTACATTTCAATCCAATACTCCTTTCAACTTTCTCACATTTTCAAAACTTCCAAAGTGAACAAACTTTTTTTCAATATTTTTCTTTCTATCACTAATACTACGTAGCTATTAATTACTAATTACTAATTTAATCCATTGATTGTTTTTAGTTAATAAAAAATAAATATGATTAGAATTATCTTAATTTTTCTCAAATCAGATAAAATGAAAATTATATTTGAACAGCAGTAAAAACAGCTGTTTGATGATGAATCAGTTTGGTTTAAAATAAACAAAATAATTTCTCCGTTGAACAAATAAATTATTGATTCTTGTTTAATAATCATTTTTACTTTCATTTAATATTATCACCGATAAATATGATAGAAATAAATATATGGAATAGATAAAAAATTGTAATAGTAGTGGCTCTTATTTATAAATCAATTATTATTGATAATATATCTTCTATTGATAATTATTGATAATTCATCGTAATATTTGTAAATTTCGAATTTATAAATAGCTTTTTCTTTTTTTGGGAATTTTATTTTGTTTTTGATTATTTGTAATTAATTATTTTTTTTTTCTCTTTTTCTTTGTTGAAATCATTCTAATAATATCATGTTGAAATTATTTAACAATCCATTCTAATAATATCATCTTGAAATCATTTAACAATCCATTCTTATTGATAATAATAATATCATCTTAGAATAATTTAACAATCCATTCTAATAATATTATATTGAAATCATTTAACAATCCATTCTATAATATTATCTTAAAATCATTTAGCAATCCATTCTTATTGATAATAATAATATCTTAGAATAATTTAACAATCCATTCTAATAATATTATATTGAAATCATTTAACAATCCATTCTATAATATTATCTTAAAATCATTTAGCAATCCATTCTTTATCATATTGAAATCATTTAACAAATCCATTCTATAATATTATCATCTCTCTTCCATTTTTCTACTTGAAATTTCGCCTTCGTTTTCGACTATTGTGTTCTTTCCATTTAGACTGTATTTGAAGTTTCAAAATTCTCTTTCATTTCTAATTATTTTTTATTTCAAATATATTTACTTTTTATCGTATAAAAAAAAGGAAGAAAAAGAAGAAGGAAATCAAGCCTGAAAATTAGGAAATCAAGCCTAAATTAGTTAGGTTAATTTCATTATATTTTTTAATTCTCATTAAATTTTTAATTTATTTAAATTTTGTTTTAATTAGAATTAATTTTGTTTCTTTCTAATTTTTTATTCTCCACTGTAAAAAATTAAAGGAAAGAATTTCTTCGTTTTCTTTTCACTCTTTTTTACAAATTCATTTTCATCTTTTAGTAGAGAAATTATATGAATTTTAATATTAGATTAAAAAACTGAAATATTTTAGGCAACCAAAATTGATACATTAAGAAATATCGCTACATGAAAATTTTCTATTTTGCTTGTCAATCAAAAATTAGGATCTATTTCAAAATATCTTTTAAAATGTATTAATTGTTTTAGCAAAATAGGATGATGAATCAATGTTTTCGATTTTCTAGCTATTCATTTCTAATATTATCATATCAAATAACAAATCATATCAAATTATCTCTAGCCATTTGATTAGTGATAATTTATAATATTCAATCATCCTTTTAATGATATTTTATTAATATACCAAATGCAATTAAATATTAATCTTTCAATTGTTTATTGGTAAATTCCAATATAAGCAATTCCAATATATATATATTTAATTTTTCCTATAAGCAACCTTCTATAACTATAAGCTTAATATGACAAATTACACTATAGAATCTGTAAACATTTGCGTGCAATTACGGTTGGGATGAAATCCAATTTCTGTAACATTTAATTTTTGATATGTCGTCAAATTTTCTTATTGGTTAAATTTCCTCATTCTAACAATTCCGTGTAAATTTCCGTATTAATTTTAATAAATCAGATTTTGATCAGATTTCTTTGCTAAGTTATGCAAAGCATAAATTTTAATAATGCTGTGAATTTTTTCATCATTTAATTTGCATTTAAAAAATATAATCAAGGAAAGAAAATAAGAAACGGAAATTAGGTTCAATATCGCTGTTGCTATATTTACCGATATCAATTTCTTATTTTTATTGATATTTACCGATATCAATTTCTTATTTTTATTGATATTTACCGATATTAATTTCTTATTTCTATTGATATTTATCGATATTAATTTCTTATTTTTATTTCTTTTTAAACCAAAAGGAAAAAATATGCAATTTTGAAATTTCGAATTTTCAATCTTCAATAAGTTTAATTCCTAAATTTCGAATTTTTATCCTTAGAATTTACATTTTCGAGAAAATAAGAATGTAAACGCCGGAAGTGCACGTACATTTCAAATAGTGTAAAAATATACATCGTTATAAAATTAGTTATTATACATCATATTTTGTTACACTTAAATTATCGATCAAATAATTATCCTTAAAAATTTCATTATTAGACTGCTTTGATCATCATATATTTATTACATCAAAAAGATGCAAATAAAATTTACAGTTATTGAATTGATTAATAAAACTGATACTACCGTTAAGATATTACTGTAATTATCATATTTCGAACATATAGGTCAATTTTAGCCTATTTCTATTATTCCATTGTCTACAACTATCAATATAATTCATATCTTAAGTTTACTAAAGCATAATCAAATTTTATGCTAATGAATTATTTATTCAGTCCATTTCTATTATTCTACAACTATCAATATAGTTCATATCTTAAGTTTACTAAAGCATAATCAAATTTTATACCAATAGATTTATTCACACATTTCATAATTTAATCAATAAATGCTATTCATTTTAAATTCATCTCAAAAATGGATTAAATTTCTACCATTCATTTATTAGTTTTTATGTTCATTGTTAAATTCGAACTACTTAATATTTCGATTATATTTCATTACCAGTATTTTAAATTAATTTTTATCCAATACCGATATTTCTTTCACGTATTATTGATTCATCGAATTTTTTTAACTTATCACTTGCTATTATATTTTTTTTCTGTTTAAAATCCATTGGCTAATTATGATTGTTGCTTAATTAATAATGATAAATGATATTCAAAGATATTTAACTAATCTTACAGTATATTTTGATATATCATGTATTTCCTCTTTGATAATGATAAGATTCCTGGACATTTGTCGATAATGAAATGAAAAAAGGATTCAATATCCTTTTATATAATTGTTCAAAATTATTTTCAATTAGATAATATGATTAAACAATGATTTACATCTTTCATTTATCATCCATTTATCATCACTAAACAAATATCCCAATTTCAAATATTTAAAGGAATAAATAAATTTAGCTACCAAAATTTGAATTAGTCTATTTTGCTCATTTAATAAGCATTTCAAGATTTATCTATTTATTAGTCACATTTAAATCGACATGAATTTTTTGAATAATTGTAAATCGAACGAAGTATTTCAAGTTGTTCGGAAAGTAAATTTACAAATTCTACTATAAGAATAAATTAACAGAAATAAAAATTTCACACTGACAGATATGCTAGAAATATGAATTATGAAATTTTAGTTTCTCTAAAAAGATTCAAATGTTAGCAACACAAAAATATGTTGCGCCTTGAAATGTTAGAATAAAATGTTTTCTGCTTATTAAATTATTCTCCAAACATTTGCTCCTTCGTCTACCTTGCAAACATAAATATCAAGTAATTAATTTGGCTTTACCTCTATATGATAATCAAAATGCTATAAACATAAACAGATAATTGCATTTTAATTTTAAACTGTTTTATTTTTTATCCGGCTATTATTATTAGTGTCCCTAAAATTACCATTAGTGTTCATTAAAATTTGTTTAGCATTCCCGATATTGTCAATTAATATTCTTTAAATTACTATACTATCTCCATATTATTATTATTATTATTATTAGCGATAAGATGATCAGCGTTCGATCTCAGTAATTAAAAAAACTGCTTCATAACTCATAACTATTTTTTATTTATTGCTACAATGAATACTTTGATTAATCATAATATTTTTCCAGAGGATTCATGCCTAAGGATCAAAAGTCAAAGATTCCGCAAAGCTCAGGTGAGCGATATTTTCTTTTTTTTTTCATTTCAGAAATCTCATAAAACCATTTTGTCAGATAAAACCTTCATGTTGATCCTACGATCGTAACAATTTTTGAGAACGAATTCTCTTCTTTTTTTTTTTTAAAAACAAAGTGAAGAGATTACTAATTCTTCCAATCACTATTATCTTTCATCATTTTCACTATTATTTTGATTCATTGTACATGTCTTTTGGTTCTACGTTGGATTTATCTAATTTAAATAAAACAAAAATAATTTATATATTATTAATTTGAATAATTATTTAAAAATTTCTCTATGTGTATTTAATTAATTTTGACATATTTCACTTCACTACCAAATTATTATCTTTATAGGATGTTTTCGATTTATCATATGATTCTGTTTCACGAGAATCTAATAGAATCTAATTTTGCCGGCGTATGCAACGAATTTTCAAAAACTAAAACAGCGCATGCAACGAATTTTCGAAAACTCATTAAAAAAATATATATATAAAATGAACCATTACAGTTTCATATCTAACGTTGAAAAGTAATTAATTCTTTGCATGTGTTTAATAAATTTACTCGTTAAAATAAATCAGTCCTCTTATTCTGTTCGATAATTTTCACAGTTTCAACATTTCTTTTCATTTTCTATGCCATCGAACTTGAGGTGAAAGTGCGCATAGCCCTATATGGTCCGTAACCCGTCGACAGCGTACCGAGCTCTCACCACGGCGAGATGATGAAACCGGAACAACGCAGTCATTTAGTTCACGGACAGTAACTACTACCGAACGTATACAGATGATCCCAGTTCCACTCAACTTTGATGTACCGGTGGATGTCCTAACACCGATAGGTTATTATTGCTGACTTATATACGGTATTCAAATATGAATTAGCTGCTGGTCGTCAGTAAATAGCTTATGCATCATTATCTGATGCAATATGAGTAATAATTAGAACTTGGCTAAGTGAAGAT